GATATGTGCACACACAGTCTCAGCAAGCAGCTGGCGGGAACAATCACTGTGAGCGCAACACAAGGACACGAACCCTCACCTTATCACATTACGTACGGGCGGCTCACGCGTGTCGTGCAGAAGTGCCAGCTTCTAGGGCGGCGCAGTTAAAGTGAGGACGGAACTCTCGCGTGAGGCACCGATCCCCGGATAACATACTGATGGATCATGATTGGAGACCTCGCGCCGGCACCGTGATCCCCTCACTGATACGCATCGATACCTCAGGCAGGGGCTGAACACAAACTTCCTCTGCTTTTGCTGCTCCAACATGGTCGGCGTGTACACTCTCGTCGAGCTTCGGGATCAAATAAGAATATACCGCGCTCGGTTCGGCGAGACGAACGATGTCCGCGGCCGCATCCTGACCGACAGTATCCCCGACAGTTGGACCGATGACCGTATGCTCGGCCTTCGTGCAACTGTGCAGATCGTACTAGACAGCCATCTCAACTGGGATGCAATCGCGGAGTTCTTCGAGGGCGAGTTATTCGTACGTTCCACGGCAAGTGCACAGTGCACGTACTAACTGAAGTAAACTACTCCTGCGGTAGACACCGGAATGGATCGCGTCACTCGAACCTGTCCGCCCGCAGTACGCCGCCCGATGGGGGTGCAAGTAATCATGGATTGGGTGTCTCGCGGTCCAACGATTCAGACTGACCTCAAGGACTGGCTGGGGGACCACGGCATTATGGCGCTGAGGTTTGTGGGTCCGGAGCCCACCGCGGCGAATTTTGAGGCTATAATAGACACGTTGAACCGCCTTCACGGTATGTATGCTCGTCTCAATGCTAATACATGGCACTCACATTCTGTAACGTACTCTCGTAGTCGGCGCTCGGCTGGGCCGCAGTGAGTAATGATCACACTCCAAGTATCTGTTGGACACTGAATGCGGTTTGAAGGGGTGCACTACCGCGATGACGGCTCTGACCGCCTGCCCGACGTTAGCGGGCATCCGGACGACTTTATATTCGAGGTTGTGAGTGTGAGCGTACTGAAAGAAAGCCGAAGAGTACTCACCGGTTCATTAGCTTCTGGACGACAACCGCTGCTTTCGTTGCCGCGAGGTAAGGTCGAAGGTGTGCGCAATGCACAATGGTCAGCCGCCGTGTCTCACCTGTCGGCTACTAAAGCAGAGATGTTCGCGCGAGGTGCGCAATGCTCAGAGCTTGTGTAGCGAGCGAGCTCGCTGATACCCGACAATTCACAGGTTATTTGATTGACTAATCCTTGTCTGTCTCGGTCTCGGTCATGGCGGAGCGCGTGCCGCGTGAATCGAAGATTCCTCCGTCGCAGTGTACATGTTGTTGCCCCGGACATCGGTGTGAAAGTAGATGTTACGCGCTAGATACATAATTCGATTCCGGACGGAGTCCGTAAAGTGCATGATCTCATGGCATGTACCGGAGAGCACTCAGGCGTGACGTGCACCACTGGTGCACGACCACCGCGGAGGCCCCGTGCACCGGCTCCGGTCAATGCTAACCAGCATGCGGGTGGAATGAGGTTTGCGCACACGCAAGGGCTACCTAAATGCAAGGCAAACTATATACATCAAGACTCAATGCGTGCTAGATGCCGAACCGGACAGCCCTTACCGCGGTATGCCTGCATTGGTGCACCGCGGACAACGGGAAGGTTCCTGAATTGCGGGAGGGATCTAATCTTCTCGTCAAAGTTCTTCGTCACAGTGACACAATGTCCATTGATCCATCAACTGCAGGACTGTAACGTACTCAAATCACGCCCGCAGATGCAGTGTATCCAATCTCTATTCAGGAGAGTATCGTATACGCATAGGGCATCTTTAGGCAGTAATAGTGAGGTAGTTGAGGCTAAGGTAAGTGCGCTGGCGCGCCATACGAGACGAGAGAGCAAACATAGCCAAACATACATGATAAGATATACTATAACGGGTAGGTCTTGATGACCCCCGAATAGACCCGTTACACTCTCCCCCACTGGACTCGTCTCACGAGTCCCAGCGAAAGACAATGAAGAGAACATACCATGCATATCTTCTTGTAAGAGATTACTCACCTCAGGTACAGGTAAGATAAACTGTGGGCCGGGTCTCGGAACACAGCAATCTATGTAGTGCCCACAGGGTCTCCGTGAGCTGACTACATCCTGAAAGTACCCGAGATAGAGCAATCAATGTAGTGAACATCCCATATGGATGTACACAGCATGATCTCGTGGGCATTGAGTATGTTCAACCATCTGTGGTACAACATACTGCAACAGGTATGAAAGAAACATAAAAGAAAAGAAAACATATCATCGCGCCAGCGTACTACTCGCCTGCACCTGAACATACAATGTGTTCAGGCATACAGGAGAGCCTCAAAAAGCGGACTACTACTCTGAGTAGTAGTCACCACCATCATCATCATCATAGTCACCATCCTCGTCATCATAGTCATCATAGTCTTCGGCAGAATATGCAGAAGCACCAGATGCAGACGAGGCCATAGGTGAGCTATGGTCATACGAGTCTGACTCATAATAGTCATCAGAGACTACTACTGAGTCGACCTCGTCATCACCTGGACCACCATCATGTTCCGAAGCCTGAGAGTGCTCGGACTCAACATCATCGTGGTCAGATGGTATGTCAGGGGTGGAATCGTAAGACTCATCACCATCTGATTGACTCCGAGTCGAAGTCGGGACAAATCCACCACCCATGCCATAGAATACTGACCTACCAGCAGTAACATCGACTGCTGGTTGGTAAGTAGCTACGAAGGGCACTGATTGATCCCAGAGCTGAGCATAGACCCATTCACGGAGTGGTCGTAGCAACCGAGGCTCGGACCACGATAGTTCGTAGTCTATCGGCCGCACTTCCACAGCCCGTTGGAAGTGATCGCGGGCTCTCTGAGCCGCTCGGGTGTACGACTCCGGTCGCGGAGACATGTCATTGAGGACATCTCCCCAGTCGAGGCCGCTGACCTTGAGTTCAGCCCATGCCTTCCAGTCCCCAGCTTGCTCGGCCTTCGCAGCCTGAGCCAGCTTGAGTTCGAACCGGTCGGTCACGAAACTGAAACACTCGGCTCGCAGGTGCTCAGCAGTCGGCCACCGAGTATCATCAATATACTCGGAGCGCGCGCCCGCTGTTGGAATGGTACCAATCATGTCGAAGATACCACGCGACATGCTCGGCTTCGAGAATGTCGTCGCAGGTACATGGGTCTGTACATCAAGCCTCGCGCTCGATGTCCAGACCACATGTGTCTCGTCTACTCGTTCCGACCCCAGTACATCGCGACTCGATGTACTGGTATTCGTCCGAGTCAAGCGGTCACGATTTGCCGTGCCGCTCCCTTCCCCCCTTTGGACTGAACCTCCCCGGTAATCGGTGAAGGCGACAGTCTTGTCGCGTACACGCGAGGTTGAATCCTCGTGGATACGGCGATAGCCTGGTCGCGCGGAAGGTTGTTCACGTTCCGTCAGCGGACGTGAGCGTTCTGTCGACGTCGCCGGCCTTGCTGTCGAGTGCGACGAGGTCGGTATGCCCGTCGTGGACATATTGTTCCTCCTCGGACGCGATGTCTGGTCCGTGTGCGTACGGGAAGACGTGGCCACCATGTCTGACGGACGTGGTGACTCAGTCTGTGCTGTACTTGTACTTGTACTCGCCCACTTGCTAGCTGACGAGTATCGGGCGATGAGCGCCAGGCGTTTTGATTCCAGCTCGGCCATCGAGTACGATGAGGTCAGTACGTCCGGCGACTCGGGCGTACTGTGCCTCGTCGATTGCTCGGCGACCCGCTTGGCGGTCTTGGCGGTCGAGGTCGTGCGCGCGCGCGAGGTCGGTTCCTCGTGCGTGCGGCGGGTATCCGACAAGTAGGGGCTCGACATGGGTGCGTCGAGGGTGGACGTGCGTCCGCGCAGGTCTTGGCCATCGCGTTGACTCGTACTTGATGTCGGTCGGGCCGTGGATCGCGAAGAAGTCAGTACACCTGGCTCAGGTGTACTGCCCTTCTCGTCTTCATTGGCCTTGTCAAGCTTCTCGTTCGTCGCGAAGCTGACCGACTTGCTGGTCTGAGTGTCGGACGACCTGCCCGGCTTCCTAGTCTTCGACGAGGCTGACTGACGTGAGGATGACAGTACATCCGACAGAGTGGGTGTACTGCCTTCCTTCACGCCGTCGTGCTCGCGCGGGGCGGTCTTGTCGCGAACCTCGCGTGTTGTCGAGGCTAATGTGTGCCGTGGTGTCGACGAGCTCGCTGTGCTCGGCGACGGCATCTTGACGGGGGATGTACCGCGCACGTCCGAGGTCGACTCTTTGTGCGCACGGATCGGAGCTTGATCACGTAGTGCGGGGGGCCTGTACCGCTCGTACGAGCTCGAGTGATACGGCTTGTCTTGCGCACGAGTTACAGTACTCGAGGATGGGGCTGCCGACGAAGTCAGTACATCCTTCGAGTTGGATGTACTGTCCTTCGCTGAGCACTCGTCCATCGTAGTCGGATCCTTGATGCCGGACGACACGGCCAGTGTCGACTCGGGAGACTTACATTCCGTTGACATGGAGGCAGTCAACATGCTTCTGAACGCGTCGACTGCAGCCTTGTCACCGGTGTTGATCTGCCGGATACGTTGAGCAACGAGCTCTCCGTATGCGGTGATGTCTTGAAGACAGGTGTAGACGAGTCTGCCTCTCGCGGTGTCGAACCAGTGGCAGACGTCAATGCGGATGAGTCGATCGACGTGCTCAGAGGTACGTCGATGGCGACAACATCGCAAGCGTTGGGCTCGCCGTGTACGGTGAGTGAGGTGCTCGCCATACGAGACGAGGATGTCTTGACGATGGTGTCAGACGCGTCGGTCATGTTGGATCGTACGCCAATCGCGTCGCTGGGCATTGCATTGGCGATGTACATGTCGGATATGCTCTTGGGTGCATCCGACAGGGCGCTATTGCTGCGTGATGTACCCACGACGAGCGACGGGCTCGTCGTGTAGCACTTCGGCTGCGGGATAGGGAGAGCCGGTGGCGAAG